CCAAAAACCCAAACCCCAAAACCCTAAGACTCCAAGGCCTAAACCCAAACGACAAAAAAAAACTACAAAATCCATGGTTCCCTTAATTTTTAAACCCAAAGCCCCACACCGGCAGCCTAATTCCTAAATCCGTAAACCCTAAACCCTAAAAGCCCTAAACCCTAAATCCCTAAGTCCCCAAAGCCTCAATCCTAAACCCTGAACCCTAAATCCTTGAACCGCTAAACTCAAGGCCTAGGCCACATGTCTATGGTGGGTGCCTTAGCCCCTCGCCCGCAATGGCTAAAAGGTCTCCACCTTAGCCCCGCCTCAGCACAGCCATGGTTGCGCCAGCACCCACGTCAGACCCGGAACCAGAAGGAGTTCTCCTTGCAACCAGCATTGGTTGCTTGAAACGGTAATTGACCCAAGGTCGCTGGCTGGTTTGTGCAGGGGCCCTCCTGGGGGTCCAGGCCCTCCTCTGCAAGCGAATTTCGGTACCAGGGGGCCTCTTTCGCCAGCCTTCGGGCCTGACAGAGCTTCCTTCAAAACCTTTGATCATGCTCCAGGGGGCCTGCAAGAAGGTTTGAGATCCCTTCAACAGCGAAAACACGAAATGACATGAATTTGTGAGACGATCTTTAACTCGATGAAGCCCACTCGTGACCACATCGAGGAGGAGGTCGTGGTAGAGGAAGTAGAACTCCCACCACGCAGCACTGTGACAACCCAGTGTGTCACCAAAGATTTGGCATTATAGCCTATAGTTTATAGGGACTAAACCCTAATAACCAAAGTGGAAAGGGAAAGGCAAAAGGTTGTTGAGAAACGGACCTAACTGAGTTTAGGTCTAAACCCTAAAAGGAGTAGGTTTGGGTGGCTTGGCCGCCTCACACGGCGTGGGGTGGGTGGATTGTGTTAGATGGCGCTCTACAGTCAGGCTCGCATGCAGCCGTGCACCTGAAGAGTTTTTGACACCTGATCATTATTGCTTGCACGGTAACTCACAGCCAACCCTAAACTCTGAACCCTAAACCCTAAATGGTAGTTTCCTAAAATTAGGGGACCCCAATATAGACCCCAATATACTATAATCCTTATGATTGGGACCCCCAAAAAGGTACCCCTAATTTTAGGAAACCCCCAAATCCCTACACCCCAAACCTTGAGCCTTTCACCCGCAGGATGCAGTGAACCCTGACCTCAGCAGTGAGCAGCTTGCAGCTGCAGCTGCCGCTGTTACCTGACGAAATTAGGGTTCAGGGTTTAGGGTTCAGGATGAAATGCGGGGGGGCTTCCCAAAATTAGGGGTACCATTTTAAGGGTTATATAGGCGCTCTATAGGGTTGTATAGGGTCATATAGGGTCTAGGGTTTAGGGTTTAGGGCTTAGGGTTTTAGGGTTTAGGACTCACCTTTTCGGGGCTTTAGGACCCAAATACTATAATATTAATGGTCTTTGGGCCCTGGAACCTTGTTATTTGGGTCCTTGGACCTTTAGGGTCACCTGTGCGGTTTAGGATTTAGGGTTTATAGCGTTTAGGGACTAGGTTTTAGAGTGGAGTATATATATATATGTATACACAAGGATAATGGCATATGTAGGATTTAGGGCTTCAACTTACGAAAGCACGCATAGGGTATCATGATATTATCAGGGCGGTATTTAATGTAATGGAGTCAGACTGGATTGGATTAGTTTGGGATTCTGGATTTTACGGATTTGGGCTCAAGATTTGAGTTTATGATTGAAGGTTCGGGGGTGGATGAGACGCTTTGCTGGAAGTCATGTCTTTAACTCGATACATGGAAGGGTACACCTCATGTGTGGGTGATGACCAGCACCTCATACCACTGAAAGCCCTCACTAAACCAAACGAATACGAGAATCAGAAGTACTTGAGCCTCATTTTGGGGAATTTATGAAATCTCTGTACGGATGCATTCCTCATTCCTGAATGAGTAACAACCAGTAAGTTTTTTGTTTTTGGATATTTAAAGCCAGAAGCGACCCTAAACTCTAAACCCTGAACACCAGCAGGCAGAAGGAATGGAGTGTTTGGGATTGGAATTTGGGGACGCGATGTTGCGCCAGAAGCTGCCTCTATGCCGAAACCAGGTGAGCTATAGACTAAACTCCTTAGAGGGGATATATAGGGGATTATATCACCCCCTTTATGTACGCTCTAGGGTCTAAACTCCCTAACGGGGTTTTCTCGATAGTTTTATAGGGGGAATACTAAAGGGCTTGTTCAGGGGGATATTAGGAAATTAGACAAAAGCTCACGTGTATGTGCGCCAGCCTAAGCACAAACTCTGTGAGCGGTTCAGCTTGGCAACACCTGTGGCAAATCGTAGTTGCAGATCTCATTTGGCGTCAAACATCGTCAAAGCCCCGTTTTGGGATATCCTCATGTTCTCCAGGTCAGCATATGCTGCAGCCACGCAAAGGTTTCCATCACCCTCAACCCCTTGCATCCATTACTCTATCTGCAGGAGACTTAATCCGGTGTGGATGTATGCCTTTTTTAATTGATTTACACCATCTCAAGAGTATGCCTTTGGGTTTAGGGCCTAGGGGTTAGGGTCTAATTAGGGCTTTAAGTGGGCCCTGTTTACCTTGGGATATGTACTTGTTGTGGAGAGGGTATAAGGTGAAGCTTCCTGGTTGCTCAATTATACCTATACGCTCCACACCAGCAATGTGCATGGCTTAAAGATTTAGGACCATGCTTATCCCTAGCGTGAAGCCAAGTATCGCCCAACTTATGAAGAAGTGGGCCCCTTAGTGTAGTCCCCAAACCCTGATCCTACACCCTAAACCGCGCGCCCGAAATTGCATGGGTGGCGCTGCAATCTCTATAAAGCCTTGTATATCCCTGTATCTAGCCTTTAGGATTATGCCCTACTTGCCAATTAATTCTCCACATGTTCGTTCATTTGCCTGTCCTTATCCTGGAAGAATAGACTGGGTTGCTGTTAAGGAACTTAAATTAAGTTACTATATTGGGGGAACCCTATTATTTGCTATATATACCCATTATGATAACTTAATTTAAGTTCCTTAACAGCAACCCAGTAGAATGCGAGGCGGCGATCTCCGCTCAAGAGCACACTGCAGCGGCAAACGCATTGCAGGGCTGCGCGACTGCCCTCGTGATGGTGCCTTGAATGTGGATAATTTCAGTGGGCATATCTGGGCTTCTTTGAAGTTTTAGATAGAGTTATAAGGGGTTTGCCGGGTTCAGGGTGTAGGATGCTAAAGAAACGGAGTAGTGGAGAGTCAAATGGAAAACCAATCTGAAATCCACTCTGGCGAAACTCAGTGGTATTTGTCATATTTAAGGCAAAGCTGCCATCTCTATTCTGTATACCAAAGCCGTTGGAAGCCCCAACCCTCAACCCTACACTTTACCCCAAATTGTGTGCGATTTTTTGTCTCTGCCTTAAGTGTAGACAATCCAGACGGTGTAGGCACCCACCATGAATCCAAGTACCTAAATGGTATAGGTTTCAAGTCTAGATGCTTAGGCCCAAGGTATTCCTCTAGAAACCTCTTTCAGCACTGCTTATTTGCTAGGTTGTCAAGATACTGCTTCTGGGTATCCTGGGTATCGCAGGTGTCGGGGGCTATATGATAAATGCCTGAATCATTACCAATAGAAGGGTCCTAGGTTCCTTGTATAGTTATAGTAAGAAGTATCCGAAACCTTAAACCCTAGACCCTAAGCCCTAAACCTCAAACCCGAAACCCTAAACCCTAAACCCTAAACCCTGAACCCCAAAACCTAAAACCCTTAACCCTCTTCCTGCCGTCGAGGCACAGGCCGCTGTTCAACGAGGCAGAGCATTTTTCTTAACCTCCGCAGGGAATGAAGAGTTTAGGGTTGAGGGTTTAGGGGCTTGTTTTTGGGGTTTAGGGATTAGGGTTTAGGGATTGGTTGTTCTCAAAATTATGGGCCCCTTTTGGTTATACATGATATTGGAGCAACAAAATAGGACTCTGATTTGGGGAACCACCCATATGAAAAAAAAAAACAGTGGAAGGTAGCCCTAAGTGGTTACTGCTTAGGGAATAGAAGAGAGAATGGAAAGTATTATTTTGGATATGGAGTTTCGGGCTTAGGGAATGCAAAAGAGAATGGAAGCTATCATAGCACCGGGAATTTTTGGGCGCTACGGTGAGGCTGCATCTCTTCATTCCTTGCCATCAAAAGGTAGGTTTGGGGATTTTGTGTAGTGTTTTCGGGTTGGGACTGTAGGGGCTAGAGTTCCGGGATGAGGATTTAGGGACACGGACTTTGCAGGTACGGGTTTGGGGAGCAGGCTTGGTTTAGGGTTTGGCAGGTGTTTCGGGGCTCTAAAACTACCAGCGATTATATATTGTTCTTGTCACCCAACTCTGGGCAATTTAAAGTGACCTCACCCGACCTCACCCTGAATGGTGGTTTATATAGGGAGTAGTACCTCAATTGCCTTAAATGGGGACTCGAAATCATTCTAAAGTACCTTGCAATTTATCGCACTTGTAGGACCTGTGTCAGAGCAGCAAGGAGTATGATGCCGACATGTATTAGCTCAATTACAGAATTTGACCTACACCCTAGTTAGCCACCCTAAGCCCCTAAACCCCAAAATCCTACAGTAAACCCGAAAACCCTAAACTTAAATTCCCCAAACCCCGATCCCCCCCCCCACCAGACCCCCTAAATCCTAAACCCTAAACCCGACCATGTGTAATCCCCGTGTAACCCCGTAACCTGAAACTTCCATCCTTGAGTCGCGCTTGAAGGTTCAGGGTCGCTGCGATCGCAGAAATTTCCCCCTAAGCCCTCAATTTCGGACATATGGGGGTTTCCCAAAATTAGGGGTACAATTTTGGGGGTCCCCATAATAAGGATTATAGCATTTTGGGGTTTATATTGGGGTCCCCTATTTAAGGAAACTACCATATTTGTTTCGGTAGAACCTACAATTACCAGTGAGTTATAGCAACTCATGAAAAATCCAAGCAGTCGTGTTGCTAAGAAACCCCACATCTATGAAGGATGCAGGGCCGCTTGCTCCTCATAACCCCTCCAGCCCTAGCTACTAGTTCTCAATCCTTACCCGCAAAGTCCAACGTGGGTAGACCCCCTAAACCTAAACCCTAAACCCTAAACCCTAAAAACCCAAAGGCATAATCCCAAAACCCAAGCTCCAAACCTCAAAGGAAGTCCAGTGGACTACCAGACCCTGCTGTCCCTCCTCTCGAAGAAGCTGGGCAGGTTTTTTTAGCCGTTTAGGGTTCAGTGGTAAGGGTAAACCCTAAAACCCTAAACCCCTAAACCCCTAAACCCTAAACCCCTAAACCCTAATCCAGGGCTTAATAAGTTGGTTATTTGTTAGGATAGCTTAGGGTTTAGGGTTCAGGGTTTGGGCTTAGGAATTAAGATTCGGGTTCTAGGGCTCAGAGTATGGTAGGGATTAGTTCTTATAGTATGCAGTTCTTAGCGTTAAAGGTGTAGAGATTGAAATGCTAGATCGTTTAGGTCCCCCGAAGAAGAACCAAATGCACGTTGTCAAACTTTCTGTTATTGTCTGCCTTCTTATCGACTTCATCGGCGAGATGTAGGACCTCATGTGTGTAATGTAAGGACTGCTGTTAACATTAGGGTCAGTATATACCAAGGGCGTCGCATTGAGAAAGGAAAGCAGCGTATGTCCAAAAGGCACTGTCTTATTAGGCAACTACCTGCACATACGCTGAGACTGGATGCCGGACAAATGCAGTTTTTCAAGGGTCATATGAACATTGCGCTGAAGTTTACATGTAGCTTTACATGTTGGAGATTGGGATTAATACTTTGGGGCTATGAACTACGGGCTGATAAGCAGCCCAAATCTACAGGAATCTGCAGTATCATCACCCTAAACCCTAAACCCCTAAAACCCTACACCTTAAACCCTAAACCCTAACACCCTACACCCTAAACCCTAAACTGTAAAAATCCTAAACCCTGTGAATGGTCCCCTGTTCCTCCGCCGGCCCTTAGTCCTCCGGGCCCCTCCTCCAAAAGTTGTGTGGAACCTCGGACATATATAGGAGATTAGGGTTTAGGGTTTAAGGGTCAATATCTTCAAGTGGGATATATATGGGGATTATAGGGGAGGATAAGAGGGGCTATGAAGTGGGATACTAGGAGTCTAGACTATAACTCTATGGGGAGCCTAGAAGCACGGCTGTCCATTTCGGACGGAGCCTACATAGGTTCCCATGTTAGTCTGGGTAAGGTTTGAAGACCCTGGCTCACAAATCATTCATTCGCTGAAGGCCCGGTTAGGAGTTCGAAGTTTACTCCAAGGCTCTTGGAAACTGATAATTCATGTATTCTCAAGCTTTAGTTAGCCCCAGAAGCCCCAACCTTACCCCAGAAAAAGTCCTAAGAAGCCTCAGGGGTTTCTGATTTAGGGTAGCGCTCGCCAAAAAAAATAGATCTACAGATGCTACATAGACTTCTTTTCCTAGGATGAGCCAGTCCGAGATTCCGTGTTAGTTTACTTGCTATTTCCTGGGGTGGAAAAGGAAATGGAGACCGTCATGTTATAGGGGACTATATAGGAGCTATTAGATGGATTAATGTCTCCAGTGCCTGCTGGCAACTAGCGAGTCTAGGGAGGGGCAAGGATGCGCCGCAGGTTTATGGGTTGTTGGGGTTCAGCGTTCCCTGATTCGCCCCCCCCCACCCCCCGTCTCTCTGCAACCAGTATTCTTTTCTGAAATCTACCACTTGATGCGCGGCTTGCACTTTGCTGCAGGTCGTTCAAAGACGCAGAGAGCATTTTCCAGCAAGCGTTGTAGACCCGAAGGGCCCATGTAGCTGTATAGTATCTTCTTGGGCACCCCAAAAGCTATAGGTGAACCCCTTTGGGCTCAAAGTATATACCATAGAACTACATGGACTCGTTGGGAGAGGTTCTCTGCAAAGAGACACCAACCTGCGCAATGTAGAAGCCTGAAAACTTTCCCACATTACTTCCCAACAGGTTTAGGGGTTTAGGGTTTCGGGTTTCGGGTACCAACCCTTATGTGATGTAACCCAAAAGCCTGTCCTGGCTATCTTGCCGGCCTCTACGTTCATCCGACCTTTGGGGGGGAAGGGAAACTCAACTCGCGGCGGTTTCAACCTACTTTGTGGGTTTCCACAAACGGGATTCCCTTTTCCTGGGCTCCCTATGCTTGGTACCAGTAGTACCCTTTTCCTTTGTTGTTTTTTCATGTTGGGGTCTCCTTATTGAAGCTGAACATTAGGAAAAGGGTACCGGGTATCCTTATGGGTGGGGGCTTGCAGTGTAAGAACAGGCATTCAAGCCTTGAAGGGAATCTGTAAGCGTTTCTTTCCATGTTAAAGCACCTCCCCTCAAAGATGCAACCCTGCGGCATAGATGTTCTCAGAGCATGTAATACTGAAATTTCGTCAGTACTTCTAAACAGGGCGATTGGGGTGGCACAGGCCGAACCCCCCCAAATCCCCAAACCTACCAACTCTAAACGCTGATGTGCTTTTCTGAAGACTCTACCTGGACACTACCTGGACCTTCCAATGAAGTTCCTTTTGGGTTTGGTATGGTTTTTTGGGTTAGGACTCTTATTTGGACTACCGAAAAGGTACTACATTGGAAGGTCTAGGTAAACCCTAAACCCTAAGCCCCAAACCCTAAACCCTAAACCCTAAACCGTAACTGTGAACCCCAGGTTGTTTTTGACCAGCCAAGGCAGAACGACTTGGTTGGCCGAGATCCTGAAGGAGGCTTAGTCTTCCTGCACTGAATTACCCTAAGGGTCCATGTACCCAATAGTGAGGTTCCTTTAAAAGGGGATATATAGAGATCTATAGGGGTATATAGGGGTATGTAGGGTTTAGGGTCCATGTACCCAATAATTAGGTACTTGGGATCTGGGTAATAGTAATTATAGTACAGGTTTTGGGTAAATATATGATTATTAGGTACTTGGGACCCTTAGGGTTAGTTAAGGGTTAGGATTTAGGGGGCAGCATAGGGCCACATGGGATAGCCAGCGGTCGGGGGCATTAGTGCAAGTAGAATCATGGAGAATCAACTGGAACATGAAACGGGAAAGTACGTGTCTATGCATACGTTACGGGTTCAATTGGAGGTTGTATGTACCGCCCCATCTGCAGCAACTAAATCCAGACTTTCCCTTTTTTTTGATGAACGTGCTTGGTCGACTAAATGTCTTTAATCTGAGTCCTGTTTAAATGTCTAGTCCTCAATAGGTTGTGCAAGGCCCGCAAGCAAAAGCAATGTGTGAGCATGAGCGAAGTTTGTGTGCAACCGCTTTGTACTTGGAGTGTCACGGGTAATTCCGGGAAAGCTCCCACACAAATCCGTGTAGTGATCACACAATTATGTGTAACGGAGCTAGGGGGCTTCTAGTTGTGATAGAAGCACAGTTATTCGTAGGTCAAAACATAAACCATGGATCCTCAAGCCGTACATGAGTAAATGGGTTAGAACCCTCCATGGACCTTGCGGTCAATGTTGATCGCAGAAGGTCTGGACATGTCATCATGTTTTTTGACTAGGGGTGGCGTAATATGTACTGGGGTCAGGCCTTAAATTTCAGGTCCTCGAGGATGGCACGCCTAGTCACATAATGACACTTATATGTCACATAAGTTATAGGACCCAAAACAAAACCACCCTAGTCTGACACTCCTAACCCTAAGGGTCCAAGTACCTAATAATCATGTACTTACCCAAAACCTGTACTAAAATCACTATTACCCAAAACCCAAGTACCTAATTATTGGGTACTTGGACCCTGAACCCTAAAACCTAAACCCAATATGGCCCTATATACCCTTACGGACCCCTAGGGTAACCCATCTCCTGTCTAGTCGGGCCCCATTCTTGCAACGAGCGCTCCAGAACAAGGACATCGGTCCCAACTATAGGTTTAGGGTTCAGGGATTAGGGTTTAGGGTCCAAGGATCCAAACAATAGGGTTTTTCAGGCCCAAGTATTGTAATGTTAGTGGTATTCGGGCCCTAAAACCCTATTATTTGGGTCCTTGGACCCTTAGGGTATGCTCCTGGTTGTAGGGTTTAGGGGTTTAAGGTTTAGGGTTCCTATCAGCACGAACCTTACGCGAAACCCTAAACCCTTGCCTTGGTCTCCAAGTCTGCACCTACCGTCCACTTTGGCACGTGAAGTCCAAAATCGTACGCACTTCAAGTTTGGGCCATTTGGATCCGGAGGGATATACAAAGGCTTCTAATCCTAAGCTCCTCTTTCCCTTGCGCAGTTTCCTACATAACAAGTAAACCCTGAGCCCCAATTTGCTAAAGCAAGGGGCATTGGGATCCCCAACCCCTGAACCGTACGCTCAAAGATCAAGCTTGTAGGCCGACACCCTCAGCTGATTTCCCAGCCCTATAAAACCTAGAGCCCGAATTGCAGCCCTAAACCCTGTAACCCCGGAACCCTAGAACTTAAACTCCAAATCTACCCTCCCCCAAAGTACGCAACATGGAAATGCAGGGTTTACATAGACCCTCCAACGTAGTTCTTTTTGGGTTTGGTATGGTCTTTTGGTTAGGACTCTTGTTAGGACTACCAAAAAGGTATTACATTGGAGGGTCTAGGTAGGGCCTATAGCCACCTTGCAAAAAGGAGGTTTGTCTTTTTGGTGCCCCTGTTCCGGTTCCATGACAGGCTTGGGGAATGTATAGCCATCTCCGTAAACGGGTGTTGGGGGAGCATTATACGGCTTATTAAGAGGAATGCTAGGAGTGTAGACTATAGCTCATTTACCGTTATGTACTCAGCGTGTTGAGTAAGCCCGTTTTCCCATCTTGGGGGGGGTCCTAGTTCTTTATACATCTAAGCTAAACCCCAAACCCTAAACCACAAAACTTGGGACATTTTTCCCTAGGTTACTTGGGATCCTTAGACTCACAATCTCCTTGGGACCTAGCTTCAACCTTAGACCCTTAACCTTTTGGGATTCCCATTTACTCCTATAAAGGTACCTAAAAGTTATCCCTCAGTAGGGGTCCTAAGTGCTACGGAGCAATTCTATCCCTAAACCCTAAACCTCCAATGTTCTGCGTCAAGAGGCTTGCCAGAGCCAGTGCCTGCCCCACCCTTGCCCAAGAGCCGGCAAAGCAAAAGCTGGGTTGTGCCTCTCGTCTGAACAACTAGAAGCCTGGATAATTACCAATGTCAAGGTCCTACATTCCCTGTATGGTTCAGGTATCTAGGGTATCTCAAACCGACCTCAAAATGATATTGGTAGTTGTTTAGGCCCCTAGAAGCACGTCTGTGGCGATAGAGGGGTGTGGAGGTTTGAAGTTGTAGGAGTTTGGGGTTTGGGTTGTCTAGGCCGGAAGAATTCCCACTCAACAATAGCCTATATACCGTCTAAGTAGTAGGAGTTCAAGGCGATTATGAGCATTTTGGAGGTCTACATGTCGGTGGGTGAGGGGGTTTTCCGTTTTAGGGGCTTGGGCTTTGGTTTCGGGGTTTAGGGTTTAGGGATGAAGGGTTCCGGGTTGACGGTCCATATAGCTGCACATTCACAGGATTTATCCACTCATTACTGGATGAAAACTATGCCCCAGGTAAAGTCTTCTCTTCCTTCGTGTGCATCGAATGAGGACGTAGGAGCCAGGTTAGAATGTGCCGCTTATACCTTGCACAAGTTGGTGGTCACTTGACTATTTCTTTTTGTTGTACAGCCCTAAGGGTCCAAGTACCCAATAATTAGGTACGTGGGATTTGGGTAATAATAATAATTATAGTACAGATTTTGGGTAAGTATATGATTATTGAGTACTTGGACCCTTAGGGTAGGAGATATGTAGGGATCCTCGCTGTGCCGGCCGCCATCCCGTGCACGTATTGTGCGCCAACTCCGATGCTGCAGAGCTGTCGGCATACAGGCTCTCTGTGTCGGGCACAGTCACGTTGCTCTCCGCAGGTGCATGTGCTTGACTTGGTCTGGAAGCATTGGCGCTGAAACCACTATTATACCTATAGTCTCCCTTAAGTAGATAGAATGTGGCTTTGAGTATATTATGATAAGATCCCCATGCAGATACCCCATATTCTATCTACGTAAGGGCGACCATATATCTACCTGGGTATCTTCAGCCTTCTGACAACTTCTCCAGAAGATGCCAAGCCTTCCTCTAGCACTGCACTGGGAAGCACTTACCTTTGGTTAGCTAGGAATGAAGAAATGGATCCTTCTAGTAACCCCATTATGGTTTTAGGGTTTAGCTTTTAGTAGTTTGGGCGGGAATGTATGCTTAGAGTAGTCCCTATATAACTCATTATAGTAGTTTCCATTGTCTTTTTCAGTCCTCTATCCCAGCTAACCAAAGGTAAGAGAAGTGGCGTTGTCAATGTTGAAAACTGTTACTGTGCGGGCCGGTTTTGGCAGGCTCCTACATCGTACTGATGTTGGAACTTGAGTCCCTGCTTTGGAAGCTGACCTCTAGTGATTTAGAGTTTAGGGTTGGGTTTGGGGTTTAGAGTTTTTGGGTTTAGGGATAATAAGAGGCCTCAAGTATTGCCAACATCATGTTGAATTCTTTTTCACGGAAAATTACAGCATAGTTATACAAGGACTATAGGTTTATAATGTTGGTGACTATTTGAGCTTCTACAGGATTCGCATTTGCAGTGGCTCGGGCTATGTCCCAGTATCGCCCTTCATAACGCCTATGATGGTCTTCTATCTAACTCCCCCAAAATAACTCTCCTTTAAGGAGTTTAGACTAAACCCTACACCCTAAACCCCAAACCAAAATGATTTTTCTCTTTTCTTTAAGGAGTTTAGACTGTAGCTCATATGATAGCCGTAGGATGTCACAGGGTCCTCATTTCAGGGATTGTGGGTTTAGGGTTTAAGGTTATCAAACTGCCTGATTATCGATATGCAATCCCAGTAAACCTTCATATGAACCCAGCTTCCATTTCGTTTTCCCTGTCTCTTTCCACGTCTTTTTCCATTGCACCAAGAGCTCCTAGCCCCAAACCCTAACCCTCAAACCGCGTAATGGCCTTATTCGATGAACGGCCCGGAACCAAAGGTAGAAGCCCGCACGAGGACTTCAGATGGAGCGAGGCAGACCTCTGTTAGTGCCCACCCTAAACCCTAAATCCTATAAACCCCAAACCCTAAATCCTGAACTCTAAACCCGCAACCCTAAATTCTAAACCCTTAACCCTAAATCCTAAACCCTAGACCCTATAAGGCTTTAGGCTTAGAGCCTTTAGGGTTGAAGATCTACAGGGTTTAGCGTGTTGACCCATGATTAATAAACCCCCTTCTTTGAAGGGCCTTAATATAAGGAGCCCTATTATAATCCCGATTAGGGGGGAGGGGGTTTATTAATCAGGCGTCTGGGTTAGGGTGTAGGGGTTGCAGCTCAGGATTTAAGGCTTGTTGGGTGTTGAGGGTGAAGGATTTCTTTCTTAGGGTTGAGCGTGTTCAGCGGTTGAGGGGATCAGGCTTCAGCGTTGTGTGGGGTTGGGTTGCGGGTTAGGGGCATTGAGGGCTTGGTATGCTAGGAATGCTGCTAGACCAGTTCATATGGGTGGTTGTCAAAATTATGGTCCCTTTTTGGGTACCCTAGATATTAGGTGCCGTATTATAATGGGGACCCAAAAAGGGACCATAATTTTGACGACCACTCATATCTAAGTGTAACAGAGCCGGCTCTCTCACTCATATCAAGCCAATGGCCCATTAAGTGTAAAGTATAAAAGCTTGAGGTTTGGAATCGAAGGAGGAGCCTCTACGGGATAGAGTCTTCGTTGCGGCTCCGATGAGTGTAAAATTTCTATCTATCTGTCTACCTATCTATCTATCTATCTATCTATACATACATACATACATACATACATATGGGTACATATAGACACAGAGAGCGAGAGAGAGAGAGAGAGAGAGATCTATATATATATATATATATATACACATATTGTTCCTGCGAAGTCTTAATCTTGGGTCAGCGGGCATGACGAGCTGATCGGAGGGCTGGGGCAAGGATGTGGGCTTTTCAAGGTGTCTAGGTGAAGGGTTTAGGACCTAGGGAAGGTAAGCTAGAAATTCGTGACATGACAAGCTTCCTACCCCAAGGCCTAGGCGAACGCATAAGGGGGTGCAAATTTGGAGAGACAATGAGCGACAGATCCACCCTGCAAGGTTTAGGCGGTATTCCTCAAGCCCCGACTCCATTAGCCCTATACACTTTCATCTACCTACCTACTATAGCCCCTAAACCCTAATCTGTAATCTACCTACTACCATGGCCCCTCAGCCCTAAACTTTAATCTGCATACCCTACTATAGGCCCTAAGCCCCAAACGCTAATCAACCTTCCCTATTATAGTCTTCACAGCCCTAAAGTTTGATCTGCCTACCCCACTACAGCCCCGAAAAAGCTAAACCTCAATCATACTCTACTATCGCCCCTCTGCTCTAAACTGTATCTAGCTACCCTACTAGGGCCCCTAAACCCCTAAACCGCAAACCAAAAAACCTCGAGTTGGGTAGACAGCTATAATGTTTGGTTCTGCCATTGCGGTTTGGGTTTAGGGTTTTAGGGGTTAAGGGTTACAGCAAAGCATGCAACCTCATGTCCTGTTATTCCTTCATAACTGCCTTGAATATACTTCCCAAATCCAGCTTCTAAGAAGATAGACGGCTGCATAATTCACGCTCACAGATGCCTCCTAGGTGGAGGTGGGATACCACAGACAGGCAAGGTTTTCAGAGGCCAGCACCGGCCGTAGGAATTATTTGTACCGCAACTTGCCCTAAACCCCAATTCATAAACCTTGAAGCCTCAACCTGAAACTCTAAAACCTAAACCAACCTTTACTCAGGCGCGCGCCAAGGCAACATGCGAAAGACAATGACCAGCACTTCGGTGCAAAACCATTAACATAGACCCCACCCAATGGGTAAAAACCATACAGCTGTAGGTAATTCGGGTTACAGGCAAACCACAAACTCCAAACGCAAAAGGCAAACCTGCATCCTCGACCTAAACCCCAAACCCTAAACCCTGAACCCTAAACCCTAAACCCTGACGTGAACCCTGAACCCTAAACCCTATAAACCCCAAACCATAAGCGCAGCACTTTGGCGCTGAACCCTCCCAGTTTCTATTCTCAAAGCGACTAAGTGAGGGGTTACAATAGTACCCCCAAAGGTACCCCCCCAGGGTTTCAGGATCTAATTGTAAACGCTAGCGCGCGCCCGCCTCGGCTGGCGGGGCTTCCCACTGTAGGAACATGTAATTATAGATATACAGGTATTTAAGTTAGGTATATCGATACAGTCATAT